CCATGTTTTCTGTGGCAGCTTTTGCTTTTTGTTTACTAACATTTTATTATTGCACTTCTTGTCCAATTTGAACAAAACAACACACCATTTCGATGGCAGCCCGTGCCTTTAAGTTACGCCAACATCTCGACTAGAGAGTATATATCATTCACTGTTTTTCAAATCACTGTTCTACTCTTTTCTATTCTATTTATTCTATTGTATTGTAGTTTATTGTACAACACACTGAACTGAAAAGCACATCTTCATTCACCGTGCTTCTTGGTAAAGTGAGAGGTAATGCTATTGTTTCAGGGTGCCTACACTCCAGCTCACATTTATTCGATAGCCGATATGAAGAAAGTCATGAACTACGCAAGGCTTCGAGGGATTCGGGTTATTCCAGAGTTTCGACTCACCTGGTATGCGAGCATTCTTCTGAAGTCTCTGTACTGGACCTACTTACATAACCCCTTTCTCAAAATGTATTGGGCTTTGACGGATTCAGTGCTCCGATTAACTCGAGAATGGCGCGTAATACCTCCATCACTAGATGTTAGTTTCATGCTTGAGGCACAAGGGAACTTCCTCCTTATAAAGCCTGGCAAAAGACAAACACAAGCCATTGAGCCAAGCATGGAAAAAAACCAATGCCTTTACAATACTGAGAGTGTTGGATGCGTAGTGAACCCCCAGTACTTCATATTTCTTCAATCTTCGTTATTCTGATCACCCAGTTTTGCTTACGCTCGCTAATCGCGCGCATCACACGGCAGGCTTATAGCGAGAACTGGAGGGCCCTTGAATATCACTATTGAACGTGTTAGACCTTTCCCAGCTTTCGCTGAAGTCCATCGAGAATACGCGTGATAACGTCTGGAGCTGAACTGGCATATTTATCTCACAACTGTAAACATCCAGCATTCTTCTTGAATTCAGATAATTTAGCGGTGAATAGGATTGCTGTCAGTCTCAAAATGAAAATGAAATATGCCTATTTACATAAGTGAGGAGCTAAGGCTTATCATTTATTTACATTCACCATTATTTAGAACCCCGAAAGGATTAGCGGTTTAATGAGTTTGGGCTTTCTTGATATTGCATTAGAAATGAAACTTATCATTTGCTGAAGACTTGAGTTTATGCAATGACTGCTTTAAGTGAAGCTGGTCATACAATGATACAATGTGCACGTACCACTGCAAATAGAATTTGTAAGTAGGGGCGCTCTAGTATCAGCGCAAGCTACGCAAGCTGCGTTCTGACGCGCCTTATCAGCCTTTATCAGTTGTAACCACTTTCTATCACCCAGCAACAATGTTCCCGTCCCACCCCACATAACACTTGTAAGTATGGTTGCTCTGGTGTCAACGCGAGCCAGGCAACGGAATCGACGACTTCAGCGTTCTGGCGCGCCTTATCGGCCCTTATCAATCGTTATCAGTTTCTGGCACCCACCAACAATGTCCCCGTCCCACCCCACATAACACTTGTAAGTATGGTTGCTCTGGTGTCAACGCGAGCCAGGCAACGGAATCGACGACTTCAGCGTTCTGGCGCGCCTTATCGGCCCTTATCAATCGTTATCAGTTTCTGGCACCCACCAACAATGTCCCCGTCCCACCCCACATAACACTTGTAAGTATGGTTGCTCTGGTGTCAACGCGAGCCAGGCAACGGAATCGACGACTTCAGCGTTCTGGCGCGCCTTATCGGCCCTTATCAATCGTTATCAGTTTCTGGCACCCACCAACAATGTCCCCGTCCCACCCCACATAACACTTGTAAGTATGGTTGCTCTGGTGTCAACGCGAGCCAGGCAACGGAATCGACGACTTCAGCGTTCTGGCGCACCTTATCAGCCATTATCAGTTGCTATCGCTTCCAATCATGTACCACCAATGTCCCGGGACCGCCCCACATAACACTTGTAAGTATAGACGCTCTAGTACCAATATGAACGACAAAACGAAATTGGCGATGCTCGCTTTCTAGCCCCTCTTATCAGCTATTATCAGTCGTTATCAGTTCCTATCACGTACCACTTGTGTCCCCATCCCACCCCCTATAACATATGTAAGAACCACTGCGCTATCGTTACTGTGACTCGAGCTATGAATTTCCGGTCAAACACACACACACACACACACACACACACAACAGACACACGCTAGCCGCTTATATATAGTAGGATAACCGAATCTGAGAGGCTCAGTCTCTCAGGTTACTGCTAACATTCGGCTCTTCGCCCACTAAAGCTGCAACCCTTGCATATTTCTCAGAATGCCCATTTGTGAACTCAACGGCATAATACCGTAGCCCTCAACCTTCACATTTTAACCCTGATTACACTTCTATTTCACACTCGATTGGTTGAGATAGTACCGCAGCGCCGCTACCATACCTGGTAGCATAAAATACAACTATGAAATTTATGTATTTATTTTTATTTATTTATTTATTTATTATTATTATTATTATTATTATTATTATTATTATTATTATTATTATTATTATTATTATTATTTATTTTATTTTATAAATTTATGTATTATAATTCAAGGGCACTCTGGATCTTGGGGTGCTTCGATCTCGAATCTCCTGCCTCAGTGCTACAACTCTGAAGGGAAGATTGATCAACTTCCCAACATTATGGACCCAACGCTCCCGGCGAACTTCAAGTTTCTTTCCGAATTTTTCGAGGTGAGAATGTGCTTACTTCATACGCAGACAATAACCTCCCAAAAACTTCAATTATTCAAAGCATTTCAGAATGCAAGCTAAGGCCGATGTCAGACTTTGCGAATCGCGCGATTCGCTAGCGTCTGCGGTCGCGTCGCGGCCAGTGAATCACTCAATTGGCTGGTACCGCAACGCGACCGCGGACGCTAGCGAATCGCGCGAATCGCTAGTAGCGAATCGCGCGATTCGCAAAGTCTGACAAAGTGGTGGCCAAGGGTTCACGATGTGAAAACAACGGACACCTTGCCTTCTAGAGAAACAACCAGAAATCATAGGCCTCTTAGCATACGACCCGCCTCCTGCAAAACCAATCAAAGTACGACGCCCCTCCTAGCAAAACTTAACCAGTACGACCCCCCGTAACTATACACGCGGTTGACCCTGCTTCCACGGTTTAGTCCCGATGGCGCGTATTTCGAAACTGCCACGTGGCGACGAAATAGTAACTGCCCCTTGGACTAAGCCTTAGAGGAGCAGACGAACAGAGCGCCGCGCCGCCGCGTGGTCCCCCCGCCCCCCCAACTAAGTTAGCACCTAAAAATGTTCCCGGAAGTCCTCGATCGTCGATGAGTACCTATTGCGCCAACGGCACAGCAACGATGATTTCAATGAAAAAATTTTCTGCGATGGGTAAGACAGAACTGCCCACGTAAGTTCACGTGAGATCGAATTTGCCATCATAAGCTTATCCTTCGCTCGCAAAGAAAAAACCCATTGCTCGCAAACCCGCGCCCAGCTTAATCGTTGTCGCGTTCACCAATCCTGATGTTCGTTGTCCTCCTCCGGCGCGCGTCGACTCCGCACATCTTGCTCTGATCGTTCCTGTACTCGAGAGGCAAACGTTAGATTGGCTTAAACCCCCCCCTTAGACTCATCGACCACCGGGAAATGAGTTCCTTACTTGAGAACTATTTGTCTTGCTTTTTTGTCTATATCGACCTGCGTCACACCTGCGCTTTCGTATTTTGACGCGATTACCGGGCCATTGATAAACGTGGAGTGCTGACAAAAATCCACTCGCAAATTGGGAGCGAAACTCGGTGCTTCTAATCACTTTACTTTTCCCCTAGAGCGTGTTGTTTCACTCTGCCACACACTAATATGATAGGAAATGTGCCTTTGATGAGATCGAAGTTATCAGGAGAAGTTACGTGGACGACATTTTAGGAGGCCTTAACACTATTTGGTGAGAAGTTTATGCATTTTGGAGGAGACGAAGTGGAGTGGGATATGGAAAAATGCTGGTTCGTTCAATTTCAACTGTTATGATAATTGTTTCAAGTGCGTTAGCTAATTACTGAATATTCAACAACTGGTAAAGTAGGACAGACTTTACGCCACATCACACATGGCACGGATACCAAGTGTAGTTTTATCTCACCAATACTTTTTAATTTTTCTGCTTAGGCTGTATGCCATAGGTCGATGTCAGACTTAGCGAATCGAGCGACTTGCTACTAGCGATTTGCTCGGGTTGGGTACCAGCCAATGGAGCGACTTCGCTGGCCGCGATGCGACCGCGGACCGTGATCATGCGATGCAATCGCAGAGTCTGACCGACATTACTGTTGAAATGTTGTGGTGGTGTTGATTACAGCAAGTCTCAGAGACAACATAGGGTGACTTCCGCGAGGAAGAATCACCGGGAAACTGGAAGAAGGAAGATTTGTAACGAGTGTGGTCCAGGAGTTTGATGTTGCTCACACCATTGTTTTGTGCGCATAAGGAGCAATATGGACTGCAGCCACTGCTGCCCTAGAAGAGTAGGTGGTGGATCACGATCAACCGCAACAGCAGGTGATTGCTAGTTTTGCAACAGGCAAAAATGGACCCACGTCAGTCACATGCTGCAGTTGCAAAAACATTTATCAGGATTGTAAGGCACGTAATCCCAGCCTGAACAGTGGCACAGTGACCGCATAGGGATGCTCCCTCCGCTCCAACAGCGCCTGGTGTTCCTTTCAAACTCACGCATCGACGGAACATTTGCTGGGCGCCGAGACACTCTAGGAAGACCACCATTTTGGAGGATCGGGTGCTCTTAGTTAAGAGCAAATTGAGTGTGAGTAGTGATTCTGGACTTACCGCATATGGCGAGAATAGGAACATGTAATCTACCCAGGACCATCGTTTAACATGATTGTTTTGATAGTCCATGCGATATGATGTGGGGAGGCATAAAGTTGTCGGGGCGTACTGACCTCCCAACTCGTGATCGCGTACACTTTCTGATCCAGGTTATTGTGGCACTGTACTGCTCCACTATGCGCATCTTTTCAGGGGTGCGTTTTATCCTGACCCCATCAGTATGAAGGACGATGTGCGAGCACATCGAGCAGCCTAGGTGTGGAATTCTTAGAACGCGAGGATCTTCGTCGATCTGTAGGGTCTATCCGCTTTCCCCATATTAAATCCTATGAGACAAGCGCGAGGAACGCACTTAGGTGAACGATCATAGCGCAGCCCCATGCGCCAGTGGCTGTCCACCAATCGTCAATCGCGGTCGTCGAGGGATGGATCGCTTCTCTATAAGAGAATCTCCAAGCAGCCTTGTAGCCAGCATGGGAGCACATAGCAGAGCATGCTTCGCAGTCCTTAATGTTGTTATACACCCATCAGAAACCACCTCTTCTCTTCTGAAGTTTACCTTGAGTTGGTATAGCCCTACCCGTCAACCGCTTCAGTCACAGTCTTCGAAGGAAAGTCTCTTTTCCCAATCGCCCATTGCATGTTTTTCTCAGTAACCCTCTGCACTAAACTTGAAATATTCCTTTCCATTTTAAGTGCCAAACTTCATCGGCCTAACTTAGCTAGCAGTTAGATTCATGCGAAAGTTACTTCTATCCTTAGTTTTGCACACCAATGTGACAACGAAATCTACTTATAAATGGCTCTAGTAATCGTGACAAATTACTGAGCTTTTGAAGTCACATCGACAAAAAATCTGCCATGAGAGTCAACATTTTCGAGAGCGGTTATAGGGTGTTCTACATTAATAGATCGCTCTTCAGGGAGAATAACCCGATGTAGAAACGGATGAAAGCCATGGGTTTGAATACTACCCACGAGCTACTCGATTATTACTGGAGGACGTGAGTAACTGAAGAACAATTATTAACCCTATCCTCCATTGCCGCACACAAAACTCAGAAACGCTTCATTTCTCCTTCGGTAGGTAACCCAAACAATATGAAAATCTTACCTGTACAGGGATTTTGATAAGGGTGTGGCTTTCGTTGAATTATGACGATCCGTCTAGGTTCTTGTTAGGCATCGGAGATGGGTGGAGGTACTGTTGTGTCTGCTGGGGCGGAAGTCTCCTCCATTTTCATGATTCCTTGCATTGTCCACCATAAGCACTTAGAAAGGGAAGGTGGGGGGGTCTCATCCAGTAAGGGAGGCATCGTGATGGAAATCCCCAGGAAGTTTGTGGTAATTCTAATCCTGTTAGGTGACTTCTCGAACCATACGATGTTGTTAGTTTCATGGTACCGTCATTTCTTCGAGTCTATATTCGTCTGGTCTCGCGCCTAGTCTAGCGCGGCACCCGGGGATCAACCTCCCCTAGCCTGCGCGCGAAGCGCGAACGCTGCGACGCTCATCCATTTTTGGATTGCTGCCCAGTGGGGCTAGCCTCATTGTGAGCATAACTTCGCCTATAGATTTTCATTGCGG